ATGGAGTCCCCCTTTAGTCACCTTCCCTAGTCCATCTACTCCCAGTCCATGAATTAGCACCTCCTAAGACCCTGAGTCCATGTACAGCTAGGACAGGTGAGGGTGCAGTGACCCTTTGCACCCCTTCCCTCTGTAAGAGAGTGCCAGCAGTCAACAGGCCCTATCTCAAAGGATGCTCCCAAGTAGTCACAGCTGGGCCCTGATGAAAACAACAACCAACATGCTTGGAGGACAGCACTCTATAACACCCTGTCTCAAAGCAAAACCCCAGTTTGGGTTGTTAGGACTTTTGTTTGCAGTACCTGGCTTTGGGAAGGTGCCAGCTTCCCGGAGGTCTGCCTTCCATCTGTGATGGCTCTCCTCTGCTTAGCCACACTCCTACTTCTGAGAACACAGGCCTACCAAGTGAAGTGAAGGTGTGCCAACCTTCCAGATAGACTTCCAACACAAACTCTCCAGCACTGTAGTGCTGGGTTCTTTCCTATAAATTGCCAGGCAGAGGCTATTTTTTAAAAAGTGAGTTCTTGGAACAGTGGCTTTTTATAGGCAAAAGATCAAATTCCCATCTCGATTTTTACTGTAAGGTACCCTGAAAGGCAAATTGACCTTCGTTGAAGCTTTAGGAGCAGTAGGTTTGGGCAGAACCATATTGTATATGTGCACCTCACTCCTCCGCCATGCTTTCTGGTAAGCATTCACAGGTCACCATGCCGCTCCATCACTGAATGGCATACAGTGAATCAAACTAAACCTTGAGGAAGTATAGCTTATTTGCAAAATGAATTAAAAGACTCATTAAATTATTTTTGTGATTTGTGTCTACTGAAAATGTCCTCTAAAATACAGCAATTCTTGATGTTACCCTGGCTGGTGTTCCTGTGTCCTTGACCACAGTTCATCAGGACCTGTGAGAGCTAGGACTGGTGACCTGATGTTGAAAGGACCCCTGGGGACTTTCTGGGTAGAGGAAGCTACCTATGATGCCTTAGTTAAGCAGTGAAAAGCTGTCTTGGAGGGAACCAGAATCTGGGGAGAATTGTGAGTAAAGAGAGCTTAGTGAGCCACACATTAAAAGAGATGCTGTGAGGGTGGAGGGGGCTTCCTGAGACTGGCACAGATGCACTGTTTGGCTGGGTATCAGACACCCTCCTTAAGGAACTGAGAAAATGGATGGCCTGGGAAATGGACGGCCTAGGAAACACCCTGGGAAGACAGTGAAAGCAGAAAGTAGACTCACCTGAAGGACAGAGCTGGCTTCAAAAGGTTTCTCTTGTCATTTAGGAAACTGGTACCAATACTAGTTAGCACTTCCAGGATGTTCTTTTCTGCCAGCTCTCAGAGGAGCTGGTTTAGGCTACCAAATGTTCGAAGCCCCAGGTAGGAATTGGCCCTTGTGTTTGGCCTTTGGCTTGTGTGAGCATTGACGATTCCATTAAAAGGTCAGGAATAAGGGTAAGAGGATCAGGAAGGTGAGCAATTTAATGCCCCTGGAATTTAGTTTAGTAGCCATTGCCAGCCACTCTGTCCCTGTTTTAACACTTTAGAATCACCTCTGGGAGAGGGCGGAGAGGACTACAAACATTATTATTCAGTCTACATTGAAGCTCAGTTGAATTTTATTTAACAGGAAGACCCTACCCAGAGAGAAAGGGGTTGAGGAAGTACTCTGAGGACCCTTCAGGCCCCCCGGGGCTGGACTTTACAGTTTCCAGAGAGTTCCTCGCTAAACTGATGATCTTCAGTTGTTGAAAGTTTTAGAGAATTCTTCAACAGTGCACACATGAATGTTTTAAATTTGTCGCTGTTCTATAAATTCATTTTCAGTTCTGCTTCAAGAAAAATTTCATCTTAAATCCTGTCCATCACTTTAAAAAATTCATCTTCCTCTGTGTGGGCCTGTATGTACATACGTGGGTACACACATAGCAGTGTACTCCCGGAAATCAGAGGACAGCTTGCAGGAATTGATTCTCTCTCTTTCTACCAGGTGGGTCCCAGGAATTGAACTCAGGTCATCAGACTTGGTTGCAAGCACCTTTTCCTGCTGAGACATCTCTCCCAGCTCCACTTTTGTTTTTTAAATGAGTGAACAGTGACTATTGTATGTTCTTACTAAAGGGACTGATTTAATTAAAGAAACAACAGCAATTAAAAAACTAGTACCTGGCCAGGCATCGTAGAGCACATATTGTCTTTAATCTCAGCACTCTGAAGGTAGAGGAAGGCAGAGATCTCTGTGAGTTTGGTGCCATCCTGTTATACATAGAAGGTTTTAGGCAAGTCAGAGCTATTCTGTGAGACTCTGTCTTTGGTTGTTGTGCCCTGTTCTCCTAGCCAGCCCTCAGCCCCACTGGGCCACCTCTCCTTGCCCTCCCTTCACTTACACCCTGGCACCTGGGCTGCGTACTCATCATGCCCTCCGTATTTCATGTCCTTGCTCTTTTGTGAGGGGCGGGCCCAGCTCAGTGACCTGTGCTGCTCTGTATGGTGCCGTGTGTAAGAATAAACCCATTGGAATAAAAAAAATAAAATAAAATAAAAACGAATAAAATAAACTGGTGTCAGGGGACCACCCTCTCTTTGGGTGACATCCCTAAGAAAATAACAAGTGACCTTGAGCACATGCAATTTTTTCTTCCTTAAAAAGTAGCAGGGGGTGGTTTAAAATAGAAAGAGATGTTTTAAGAGCCAGGGAGGAGGTGTATGACCATAGCAAGTCCTACAGGCTCCTGGGACCCTTCTCATACAAACCTGTAGCAATAGTGTCAGCAAGCATAAAACTCATGCAAACTCAAACAGAAAAAAAAACAAGCATAGAACTGGAAATGAACAGTAGGTCCCAATCTTAGTCGAAGAGTTATTGGCAGCTGATTACTGCTGGGTGAGGAAGAACTGATCTTAAAGGGAGGGACTCTAGGCAGATTGACTAGATCTCAGTGGCTGAATTTGTACTGAGGGACGTCTGGGGACATTAATTTGACAGGATAGGCCTTAATACAAATGACAGAATGCATAAATTCCCTTGGGGCATGGGGGAGCTATGGAAGGGGGCCAATGGGGAAGGGGGTATAAAGATGATTTAAAAAGATGTTCTGTATGAAATATACAAAAATTCCATTAAAAATTTTTTAAAAGATGCTATCCTTACCTACATGCAGGCAATACACCCATACACATAAAATAAAAATAATAAATAAAATATTTTTAAAAAAGAACCATGGAAGAGGTGCACGACCATACGGAAATAGTCCTACAGGTCCCAGGGATCCATCTTGTACAAACCTACAGGAATGCACAAGACTCATGCAAACTTAAGCAGACAAAAACACAGAACTGTGAAAATGAACAGCAGGCACCAATCTTAGTTGAAGAATTATTGGCAGCTGATTACTGCTGGGTGAGGAAGAACTGATCTTAAAGGGAGGGACTCTAGGCAGATTGACTAGATCTCAGTGGCTGAATTTGTACTGAGGGACGTCTGGGGACATTAATTTGACAGGATAGGCCTTAATACAAATGACAGAATGCATAAATTCCCTTGGGGCATGGGGGAGCTATGGAAGGGGGCCAATGGGGAAGGGGGTATAAAGATGATTTAAAAAGATGTTCTGTATGAAATATACAAAAATTCCATTAAAAATTTTTTAAAAGATGCTATCTATCAAAAAATAAATAAATAAAATAGAGACACAAAGTTGGTTTGGGAGATATGTTGGAGGGGGGACGGTAGGAGCTGGAGGGAGGGAATAAGGGATGGACATATGTGTGAATTTTTTTTTTAATTTCATATCAGTTTTAAATGTGAATCTACAGTATAAGTTATATTTTGTGTTGCTTTGTAACCCACCCCATACACTGAAAGCCGGCACCTCTCATTATATAAATCATCCCCTCAGTGTGGATATCCTGTGTCTTCCCTGCTTCATCTGTTGCTGCCTTCTGGGCCCCATTCTGGCCCCATTGGTCATCTTGACTGGTACATCTCTGGTTAAATAATCCCGGAGCTGGGGCAGGCAGGACTGGGAGGTGAGGCTTTGTTCTCAGCTTTAATATTTTAATGAGACTGCCGGCTTGGCCCCTTCCTAGCCATGATTTCTGAGTGTGTTGTTAGTGTTAGCACTTACAGAAGGATGTTCATTAGGAAGCTCCTGTTTCAGTGTCTAAGAGAAACTCCCCATTAGTAAAGATCTTTCAGCAGCATGGCCAGCAAAAAAGGAAAGGGAGGAGGAAAGCTTTTAGCTGGAAGCAGTCACGGAATTTTGTATCCATAGACTTAATTTTAAAGATTTACTTCTAAGAATTAATTGGAGCAAATACATCTCAAGGGACGGGAAAGAGAAGAGTTGTAGCGCTAGGAGAGTGCCTGTCCTAGAAGAAGAGGACCCTGAGTCCTGCAGCAGAATCAATATACCACTAATTATTTCTGGTTATCTTTTATGGGTTTGTAAGACATTTCTTTTGTTCTGTGTAATAAAAAACCCATTGTTTGATCTGTGACTGACTAATTATGATAAGTAATTTGAAACATTCCTGATGAAACTTGTCTGTTAATTAACATCAACAGCAGATGAAACTGGTAGAGTAAGAAACTCTTAGGGCAGGCGCTGCTCCTGGAATTGATGAGATCTCTCTATGGCATGCCCAATAAACCAAGATGCCAATGGTTAAAAAATAACAACAGGTGGGAAGGTCTGACTCACCACCCAGGAAAGGTTGTTGTAAAGTTGGACAAAGGAATACTGGAATAGTCCAAGGGTAGAGATGGGAACTGAGTGTCAGCAGGCTACCTGACCTGATTGCTCAGAGGAAGGGGTTCATGTTTTTTGTTTTTTTGTCTTCTGAGCTTAATTCCTTAATCTGAAACAATACACCTTTGGTAACTCAACATGCAGCTCTGAGAAGATGTGGTTTGGGGTCATTGGCAGTGTTTGGTTCTTTGATAGCTATTATTAACACTTTTAACTTTCACCAACTCAGTGGCTTTTCTTTTATGCTTTTAGATTTCTACCTGGACAAGGCCTGGTACTATACCCACAGATAGGAGACAAATTGGATATTATTTGCCCCAAAGTGGACTCTAAAACTGTTGGCCAGTATGAATATTATAAAGTTTATATGGTTGATAAAGACCAAGCAGACAGATGCACTATTAAGAAGGAGAACACCCCTCTGCTCAACTGTGCCAAACCAGACCAAGATGTGAAATTCACCATCAAGTTTCAAGAATTCAGCCCTAACCTGTGGGGTCTAGAATTTCAGAAGAACAAAGATTACTACATTATATGTAAGTATAGTTATATTCCTTTATTTTATAAGAATTAGAATAAGCTATACTAGGTTTGTATTGAGTTGTTTCCTTAAAATTACCATGGTAAACAAACTGGTAAAAAGTTTTGCTGAATATTTGTCCTTTTTCCCCCCCAAAGAAATTTTAATTGATTGAATTGTACTAGCAATAGTAATTGAATATAAATATTCAGCAGGGGGGAAACCTGCTAGGATTCTTACAGTATTGAAATAAGTTTATTTTTATGAAGGTTCTCAACATCTCTACTAACGAAACCGTTTTTAAGGACCTTTGGTGGGGTCTGATAGGTAAATCTGTGCAATGCCTTTTCTCTTCATCCATCCATCCATCCACTCATTCATTTAGCATGTGTTCTGTTCCAAGGACTGTGCTTCACTGCTAGGACCTACCAGTGACATAGTGGTACACCTCACCCTGACGGTATCAGTCCACACAGGTGGAGCTCAGAAGTTGGAAGGGTGGGCTTACAGGTGGGGACATATGGCGTCACTTTGGGAGTAGGTGATGTGTATCCATTGGGGTTTTTTCTGAAGTAGCACTTGTAAGGCTGTTTCCATCTTGACACACACGTACTGTGCATACATTCCAACTGCCACCAGCCAGAATTCTCTTCAGTGTCATGGATCTTGGCATGGCAAAATCTGGCATACCAAGACATCTGCCCACATGATTCAAGCAGTAAGATTTTGGTTAATTGAGGGAAAGGGGGTTCAAGTTATACTGTTTGTGTTTTCTAAATTTTGCAGTGCTCAAGATGAAACTGTGGGTCTCGTGCATGCTAGGCAAATGATTGGCCTCTGAGCCCTCGACTTACAGTCCTTACTGGGTTTCCCTGGGATTCAGCTCCTCATAGTGCAGTTGACCTCTGGCTGGGCTCCCCTGCTACTTGGTGATCAGATAGGAGGTCTGGCCTTTTCCCGTTGTGACCTAACTCTTTACAACACAGAACCAGTAATTCACTATATATTTATCTTGTGCTCCATAATGTGTATTTTTTACATTAGTAATTAAAGCAAAGGTGGTCACAGGCAGGCAATTATCTTGTCTATTACTGAAAAATACCACAGAGACCAAGAACCTATTTTTGAAACTAATATGATACATAGGTTTCCAAAAATAACAAAGAAAAGGAAAAGTGGAAAGTTATGTGTTTAATGGAATAATTATTATAAAATGAAAATAAAACATTCTGAGCTGAAACAAGGCAGATGGGTGGTAAAATAATAGGATGATCCTAGAAGATACAAAGTCATTATAAGGTAAAAATAAATAGAAACTGAAGCTTGGGAAGCTTGACAGTAGTTTTTTAGTAATGAATCAACAATGAAACTGAGTTCCTTAAGAAGGTTACTGCACCAGATGGAAGGAGAAAGAACAGGGTGGGGTGTGCCTGAAGAGATCAGCCATTCCCACATACATGTCTGATCCCAAAGCTGAGTGATTCCAAAGCAGACCCCCAGGGCTCCCACATGGTGGGACCCACCAGACCTGCACTTTTCCCATTAGGACACCATAAGATGACTTTGTAAATCCCATCTTTCCATTGAGAACAAGTGGAAGCTCAGTAAATACTAAGGTTTAACCTTCTGTCTGAAATCATGTACAAAAAGTACAGGTAAATGAATGGTGTAGGGAGCATGTGTAACTACCCTTTATCAGTGCATAGGAGATTTGAACTTACACACATAGTTTAACCCATAATTACAATAGTTGTCTGCCCAATAATGGCATTTCTCTCTCTCTCTCTTTTTTTTTTTTGAGAACTCATTATGCACATTAACATGTTTATTGTAGGCTTCTTGCTACTTTGGCCCCTAGAGAATGATTCACAGTATAAAACCATGGGGTGGCCCAGTGGTCAAGGCATCTTAAAATCTTGTAATTCAGGAGGCTAAAGCAAGAGGAACTCAAGTTTAAGACTAACCTAAACTACATAGCAAGACTCTTATTTATTTATTAATTTATAAATAAATAAATAAATAAATAAATGAAAACAAAGCCGCGAGGGGCTGGAGAGATGGCTCAGTGGTTAGGAGCACTGAGTGCTCTTGCAGAAGACTTGGGTTTGGTTTCTAGCACCCACATGGTGGTTAACAACCATCTCTAACTCCAGTTCCAGGGGATCTGACACCTTCTTCTGACTTCTGTGGGCATTGTATAATATAAATGCATTTACATACATGTAGGCAATATGCTCATACACATAACATAAAAAATAAATAAAATATTTTTTTTTAAATAAAGCCTTGAGGCCAGATGTGGTGGCACAGGCCTTTAATCCCAACACTTGGGAAGCAGAGGCAGGCAGATCTCTGTGAGTTCAAGGCCAGTCTGATCTACATAGTGTGTTCCAGGACAGCTGGGGCTACAGGGAGACCCTGTCTCAAAAAGACCAAAATAATAATAATGATAATAAATAAAATAAATAAATAAATTAAATAAAATAAAGCTTTGGCTTTCAATTGAGCCTGTTGAGTAGCTCAGGACCTCTCCAGGAAGCCCAGTGTTCCTTTGATCAGAGTTGAATGGTTTCTCCTATGTCACAGGTAGAAGAGAGTATTTTAGATATCTGGGAACATATAGAAGCCAATTTCTTTTTTTTTTTTCAAATTTTTACTTATTATTTTTATTTTATGTGTATGAGTGTATTGCCTGCATGTGTGTGAGTGCACCCGTGTCATGCAAAGCTACGGAGGTCAGAAGAGAGCTTCGGATTCCCCTGGAACTGGTGTTACGGGCAGTTTGTAGCTGCCATGTGGGTGCTGGGAATCGAATCTGCTCCTCTGCAAGAGCAGTCAGTGCTGTTAACCACTGAGCCATCTCTCCAGCCCCAGAAGCCAATTTCTCACCTACTCCACCATTGTTCCATAAGTTCCCCCAGAAAGGAGGTGGAAAATGACAAGAAGAAGCTTTAAAGTAGTTGTAAAGGTTAATATTGACTTTGCATTGCTTTTTTAAGAATTCCAAGACACCAAAACACTTTGCAAAAGTCAGCTATTTCCCTCCTAACCCAATGTGTGCACACCTTCACAGTCACACTCTTCTTTCAGAAGAAAAGTGTGTCGAGACAGGGCCCACCAGCATGATTGGAAGTGCTCAGGTTTATAAGTGTATAATATTTCAAAGCATTGGTTTATTGTGCAACAGTGAATAAGGCTGGTGTGAGCTGCTGATTCCAAGTTAGCACCTTCAGCCCTGGAAAAATCAGAGTATCATGCAGCTATGACTTGGATGGGTGCTTGGTGTGCTCTAGTGGGGACAGTCCACATAGGCTCTGCTGGTGTTGGGCAGTCTCTCAGTTGAGCAGAGCTTGGGGAGAATTAGGCCAAGAGCCCAGAGTCTTAGGTCTTAATTCTGTTGCGTAGGTTTAAGTCCATTGTGTACCCAGCAAGCTCCCTTAGGAAGTGGCATGTCGTAGAGATATGCCTCCTTGTTAATTTTCCTCCCCAATGACTATTTGCTTTGACATGTGGCAAAATGGTGTATATGGAATTTCTTCATGTTTAGAATTGACTTTTTCAAGTGACCTATTTCAGTAATTAGCCTTGGGCTTAATTTGCATAATAAACTCTGCTAATCATGAAGTGATTCAAAGATGGGGCTGTTATGACCATGTGGTCTGAAAAGTCCCCTTTTTACATTTAGACTCTTAGTGGCCTTACAAACACAGTCATGGTTTTATATGACCTGTAGTTATTTTTTCATTATGTCCTTCATTTAATTACCTGTGAAATGACTATGTGTTCTGATAGTGCCCATTTTCAAGAGAAGTTCTCAACAGTTGGACATAGTATTATAAGTAGACCATCCAGTTTGTGTTAGAAAACATCCATTTTCTGTGTGCCTTCAGTTACCTGATTGTTCACTCATATATACACACTCCTGAAGAACTCACCACGCGCCTTCTTTGGAGTCAGCCCTCACTTTTCAGCTGACCTTGTAAGTCTAGAAGAGTTCCCATTTCTTAGGCCTGTTTAAGGAGTGTGTGCAAAACTGGAATTGAGCCACAGGCACCTTTACTAATTTGGGGGGCGGGGGGCATGCATTCTGCTTCAGAACAAAATCACAAAGTAAAATTTTTGCACAAATCAAACAAAATAATATTATTAAAGAGCCAAAAGAATAGATTGTGTTCCTTATTCTGGCTGAGCTTATGTGTGCATTTTTTCTGGGTTTTTTTTTTTTTTCTGATTTTGAGCTACTCAATCTGGATAATAGATGTGGCAAGCTGCACTAATGTACACTGTATTTCTATAGTGCTCCTCCTTAGAAAAGTAGTCAATCCCACAGGCCAGGCATTCTCGGGTACCCTTCACATAAAAATGGCTTTTAGAATGTGTAAGTACACAAAATATCCATAAAGTGATTATGCAGTTTATTCGATGAATTACTTGTGTATGATAAATGTAGCACCAGCCACACTTCCGTCATTACTGGCATCCAGCTTAGTGATGCTGCAACAGCAGCCTGTCACTCCTGTCCTCTGACTTAGGGCCGAGGATTTGTGTTTGATGCCTTCCTGTAGCTCCTGATTGCTGAGTTGAAGCATAAAGCACATTTCAGTTTTTCTCTACAACTATTCTTCTGGTAGAAGAATGCTCACCTGAGTCTTTCCAGAAACCATACAGTAAAAGACATACCCGGTTCAGAACCTGTTCACCCCACTAAGAGACACAGGTTGACCTCAGAGCTTTGAGTCTGGGTCTGGCTACCCTCTCTCTTGAGTACAATGGACAAGTAACTCAACCCCGTTATTCAGCCTAGGTCTTCTCATCTTTAAAACGGGTATCATGGTATCACATGCTCATGAGATAGATGTGAGTTCGTACAGGGAAAGATATGTCAGGTTAACTACAGGTTAACACTGGACAGGGAGGAAGTGAGAGGCTAGAGACTGAAGGCAAACCCAGGCTTTGCTCTGATAATGAGGTGGAGCACCATCCTTGATTTACAGTCTGTGCATAAAATGAAATTGC